TAGCATGTTGGACGCCTTCCGACCTGAGGGTCCCATCTTCCAGCGTCATATCTTTTAGCCTTTTGTTTCTGTTCATGGGGTTTTCTTGGCAAAGATACTGGAGTGGCATTGCCAGTTCCTACTCCAGGTGCATTGCGTTTAGTCAGAACTCTCCACTATGACCTATCCATCTTGGGTGTCCCTACACAGCATAGCCCATAGCTTCTCTGAGTTACTCAAGTCCCTTCGCCACAACAAGGCAACAATCCATGAAGAGGATTGCTCCTCCATCAGCTGCTCCCAAATGAGTGATGTTTGCCTACACGAATTAAGAGACCCAATCAGCAGTGTTGCTAATTCTCCTGAGAGGAATGTATAGCATGCTTTCCAAGGAGGCTTTCTGCGCTTCATCCCAAGATTCTGACTGATTTGGGAAGCTGGACAACAAACATCACCCCCACCCCCCTCAAAAAACTGCCATGCCATTTCTGTAAGTGGCCTCCCTGATCTTCCAACTTTGAAAAATCCTCTCCCTGCTTCAGCAGGACAAAGATGAAGGGAGAGCTACCTGTAAAGGAGCAAAAGTGGGTTTTGGCCTTCATTGCTTGGGTCCATCTGCCACCTCCCAAGGAGTTTGTAGTTCCTTTGCATTTCCATCCTCTTACAGGCAATACCATGGGGTCAGAGGTGCAGTCTGGATTCTCTCCTCTTAACGGCTGGCCAGAAGGTGCTGTAGTCCAGGCTTCATGGATAAGAGGGAATCATGTGGAGGAGATGTGGGAGAGAAGCCCGAATCCTTCTGTCCTTGCATTGTGTCAGATGCCCCCCCAGAGATCATGCAGCCTGTGGCATTTTATTCTTATTCTCAAGCTCTGAATTCCCAATCTTTTTTGGTCTGTGGACTGCCTGGGATAGGCGGGGCACCCCCCGCGCTCATGCACATTCGCAAACAGTGGTGTGGTGCTTTGTCTGGGTGCACGCACTCGTGCGTGTGCCCAAATTGCGGTGCGCTGCTCGCACTGGTGTAGTGGAGTGCGCACAGGCACAAACAGGCTTGTGGGGGTGAGTGTGTGCGGGTGGTGGGGCGGGAGGTGTGTCTGGCTCAGGCCACGGACCAGCACAGGGCCACGGACTGGGGGTTGGGGACTTCTGCTCTAAAGCAATTATGATAGTAATATTACAGTGGTGCCTCGCTTAACGGGCGCCCCGTTTAATGACAAATCCGCATAGCAATGAAGATTTTGCGATCGCTTTTGTGATCGCATTGCGATGTTTGCTTTGCGATTTTTCCCTTACGCCCCATTTTCCCCAGCTTACCTGCGGGGGCTTGGGAAGGACCGTGCGGGAGCCGTCCCCCGTGGTCCTCACAAATCCCCCGCCGACATTTTCCCCCAGCTGACCGGTGGGAAAATGCCGGCAGGGGCTTCAGAAGAATTGCTGATTGGCGGTTCCAAAATGGCCGCCCGCTGTGTTGCCTCGCTTTAGAGCAGGGGTTTTAAACTCAATTTACCTGGGGTCCGCTGGAGGCAGAGTCTGGGTGAGGCTGGGCCCAATAATACTTTTATATATTAGTGAGGTTAGTCCTCTCTTTTTATTTTTATCTTTTTGTATACAATATTGTTCGAATTCAGTTAATGTTCTTAGAAGGCCAGTTTTTTGTTGTGAGTAGCGTAACTTCTTATTTGTTTTATTTGTAGCCAATTGCTTTTTATTTGCTTTGTTTTCTCTTCTATTTGCCTGATAGTAAGTGGTTCCCCTGATTCGAAAAAGTCATTAATTCTATATATTCCAATTTGCTTCCATTCCTTAAATTGTGCATATTTAAAATATGCACAATTTAAGGATTTGTTCCTTTAAGTGAACAAGGGGTTAAATTTAATATTGTAGTGAAAATGCAAAGTCATGCCTGTAACATCAAGTCTGTTGGATGTGTTGGATGGTCAACCAATCTAACTGTAAATTTCAAAGGGGAAGACCATCCAGTGCACAGACTAACTTGCTAGTATATAGTTTTGAATACTAACCAAATCAGAGGGAAGCTTTAATTATTACTGGTCTGTAACTGCCTCTGTAAATGCCTCTTCTCTCTCTGAGGTGATTAAAACCTCAAGACACTCACTTGTTCTCTCTCAGATCTTTACACATTAAGCTACATGTTTTCATATCTTTAAATGTTTATTATGTAACAAACTGAAATCTTTAAGAATGATAACCTCATGTGAGTAAAATAGACTTCTTTATTTAATGATAAAAAGACCTCCTGAGTATTTTGTTATGTGCTAGTGTTTGGTGAGGGGAGATTACCAAAAAGGGGGAACTTCCAGCTAATTCTGCCTAACCGCCTGGCACTTCTTGCTGCACATTTTTGGGGGAATTCACACGAGTTCCACACAACTCTCAACAAAGTCAATGGATGACTGATAGCACACAGATGGGAGAAGCTTAGGTAATGCTTGTCAACCATATCCAGCTGCTAAGTCTGCAGTGGTAGGCTACTCTCTCTATTTAAGCAGGAGAGTGAGAGCAGCACTTTGCCACTCAATTGTGAGTCTGGTGGTCATCATTTATGTGAATATTATGTTGCTCTGAGATATCTATGTCAATGTATATATTGCCATGTACATATGCCTGACGAAGCCTAATATATAATGCTATAAGTCTTAGCAGAACTCTCTCTGTATGTATTTTTTTCATACATCTGCGTCTTTACTCTGCTTATTAAGGGGAGGATTTGAAACTGCCAGATAAGAGACTCTATGTAACTTGTTCTCTTGGGCTCCAAGGTTTGGACTCCGTGTAACTTCTTCTCTTGGGCTCCAAGGTTTGTTTCTTCCCTAACAGAGTGCTCTTGGAAATTTCATTATCCAAATCTGACTCCAAGCTTTTGGGGAGGCAATATGCCACATCAGCCTCTGGAGTTGGACCCACGGCAACAGGGTTATGGGCTCAGGGAGACATTGAGACGTCTTGACCCAAGGGGACGTAAAAGGAAAATAAAAGGCATTTTTAAGGCTGCATATCGGTGGAGGAGAAGCCAAGCACTGGAAAAGCTGAGTCAGTAAGTGAAAGTGATGAGGAGCAGATCCAAGGAGGCTTCACCACACAGCAGGCGAGTACCCTTCCTTTGTTAAATGACCATGGGTGTTAAAAATGGAAATGTATTTAAGGAGACAGTGTGTTTGGCCGATTGTTTGTAACCCTCCAGCCCAATTAGATGAAGAAGACATGGCAAAAGATGAGAGAGCATTGTCTTCAATAATTCTATGTCTGGATGATTCACAGCTCAATTATGTGAAAGGAAAAGCTTTGAGCAAAGAGGTCTGGGAAGCTTTAAGAGCCATCTACGTACGACAGACTGCTGGGTCTAAAAGGATGATAGCACGTAAGCTATGGACAAAAAAACTCACCTTTAAGCCAAAATCCTCCATATGGTGGCCATTTTCGCTGCCCGGTAAGTGAGGAATCCGGGCAAAAACACAGCAGGTGGCCATTTTATTTACCCAGCGGCCATTTTGGAACTGCCGATTAGCTGTTGGAAAATCATCGCTATGCGAAACAGGGTACTGATCATAGCAAAGCGATATTTTCCTATCTAAACCATTGCAATGCAATCGCAAAAACGATTGCAAAAAATTCATCGCTCTGTGGATTCATCGTTAAACAAGGCGCCCGTTAAGGGAGGCACCACTGTATCTGATATTTTCACTAAACCATTGACATTTGAAAAACATGTATATGTATGCAACCAGATGGGTTTCAACAATATGTAAATTTAAGGAGTGTCAGGATTTGTTCCTTTAAGTGAACAAGGGGTTAAATTTAAACACACAAACTTAAAAACATTAACAATCTAAACTGATAACAACAACCAAAAAAACCAGACACAGCTAAACCTCCTTCCTTCCCCTATGGATGAGAGAGTTCACCTTCATTTGGTCATCGAAATATATTCAAGGAGATTCTGGTGAGCACTGGTTCGCTATAGACTAATTTTCCCCCTAAGTTCCTGTCTTTTTCTGGGCCCAGTTAAATATTAGCTTCCAGCTTTGCTTTACAAAGTCTCTCGGTTGATCCTGTAGTTCCTCTGAAAGCATGTCTAATTCTGCAATGTCCAATAGCTTATTTAATAACTCATCCATCGTTGGTGTCTCTACATTCTTCCATTTTTGGGCCCAGAGTAACCTAGCTGCTGTGAATATATACAGTAGACTATATTTTATTTTCTTGTCAATAATTTCTGGCATTATATTCAATAATAATATTTCAGGTTTAAAATTTAATTTTTGTTGAACAATCTCTTCTACGATTTCCCAAACCTGTGTCCAAAATTTTTTTGCTTTTTCACATGACCACCACATATGATAATAAGTCCCTGGATTTTTTTTACACTTCCAACGAACATTACTGTTACCTTCTGACATTTTGCCAAACTTACAGGGGTAAAGTGCCATCTATAAAACATTTTAGGGATGTTTTCACTAAGATTCATTGGCTTAATCATTTTAACTTTCCACATCTTTGTCCATTCATAAATATCAATATTGTACCCAAAATTTTGTGCCCACTTTACCTTCACCTCCTTCACCCTCTCATCCTCCAAGTTGTATTCCAGTAAGTATGTATACATTTTTAAAATTATTTTCTCATTATGTAAATCCATAGTTCATCCACCTGGACTTTCCCATCAAAAAAGCCCATAGTTTTGTCCTCTACTGAAGCTCTTTTTACATTCCACAAATTCGTATGGTTTCTCCCCAGTGTAAGTTCTTTGATATGACCTGAGGTGACCACTGGAAGGACAGATCCTGAAGCTGAGGCTCCAATACTTGGCC